GAAGGCAGAGGCTTTAACCCACTGAGCCACCCAGGTGCCCCGTGAAAACGCTTTTTTATATTCTCAGTAACCAGCACAGTTGTAAGAGAGAAAAATATGCGTTCTATCTTAAGATTTCCAGCTGTTTTTTAGTTTAGTTGTTTTTTTTTTTTAAGATTTTATTTATTTATTTGACAGAGATCACAAGTAAGCAGAGAGGCAGGCAGAGAGAGAGAGGGGGGAAGCAGGCTCCCTGCCAAGCAGAGAGCCCAATGCAGGGCTCCATCCCAATACCCTGGGATCATGACCTGAGCCGAAGGCAGAGGCTTTAACCCACTGAGCCACCCAGGTGCCCCTGTTCTTTAGTTTTTGTTTATAGATATTCATTCTTGGCAGGAAAAGTTGCACTCTTTAAAATGGATTTTTTTGAATCTCTATTTTATAAATGGAGTTTGATTCAATAGTCATTCTTAAGATCAGGGAATTCTGTTTCTGGTAGAGAGGACTAGTAGATATTTACCTGAAACAGGCATGCCAGAATAGTGCATGCATAAAATTGTTTGGTTTTGCTTGCTTATTTATTTATTTATTTATTTATTTTTAAAGATTTTATTTATTTATTTGACAGACAGAGATCACAAGTAGGTGGAAAGACAGGCAGAGAGAGATGGGGAGGCAGGCTCCCTGCTGAGCAGAGAGCCCGATGCGGGGCTGGATCCCAGGACCCTGAGATCTTTAACCCACTGAGCATCCAGGCACCCCTTGCTTTTTTTTTTTTTTTAAAGCAGGGACCATTCCTTAGATATGTGTAGTAAGACAAAATGTCCTGTGTTGTTGTGATTTAATAGATCATTCAACACCAGCCAGCCAGTCTCCTCATTCCTCTAACCCAAGCAGCCTGCCAAGCTCCCCTCCAACACACAACCATAATTCTGTTCCATTCTCCAACTTTGGACCCATTGGAACTCCAGATAACAGGGATAGGAGAACTGCAGATCGGTGGAAAACTGATAAGCCAGGTGAGATCCAGACTTCATTGCCTAGTGAAAGTGAATCACTTACTCTGCCCTTCTCTAGTGTTTATTTGGTGATGACAGAACATCCTGAATTCTTCTCTCTTTGCATCCTTAGCCATGGGTGGGTTTGGCATTGACTATCTCTCAGCGACATCATCCTCTGAGAGCAGTTGGCATCAGGCCAGCACTCCAAGTGGCACCTGGGCAGGCCATGGCCCTTCCATGGAGGATTCCTCTGCTGTCCTCATGGAAAGCCTAAAGGTAAGTGATTTTTGGGAACAAGAACCACGAGAGATGTGGTTCTGCTTTTGTTCCTGTAGATAACCAGGCTTAGTCCTTAAACCCTTAGAGTTGATCAGTTCATAGCATGTATCTAGCAAAGTCCTAGAGAAACATGGTCTACCTTACAAGATTCTTGAATAGGAGTGTTGTTTTTTAATTTGTGAACTCACTAGAGATAAAGAGTTTTGTCTTCAAGGGGGGCAGAAAAAAGGTTTTAGTTGCATTGCAAGGTTAAGACGATCCTGATTCATTTAGGAATGTTTGATTTAAGCCTTTTGTGAACACAAGAAAGAAGGTACCTAATTTTAGAGATGTTCTGTTTGCCTAAAATCTTTATTGTAAATATTCTGAGGTCCCACGTGGCACTGAGTTTTAATAAAAAGTATTTCACCTTTTCTGGTTTAAAAGCTTAGTGGGAACTAACTGGTCTTGAAGACAGTCTTACAACGGCTTTGTCTAATAGCTGGGTGCTTTAGGGGCAGGGGTCTTGGGACACATATGCCTTTATATTTGGCGAGGATTGAGAAACAAACCCCTTTCAGACGTCCGGGCATTTGACCTCTGCTGACAAGCTCTGGGCTGTTTTTCAGTCTATCTGGTCCAGTTCCATGATGCATCCTGGACCTTCCGCTCTGGAGCAGCTGTTAATGCAGCAGAAGCAGAAACAGCAGCGGGGACAAGGCACCATGAACCCTCCACACTGAGGCCAAAGTGGCAACCCTGGGAATGAAGGCTCCATAAACCATGGCATGTTGGGTTTGCAGGACTGGCCCATACAGTCCCCTGCAGGTGGCAGCCCTCTTTTCTGTTTCTTGCTGTTGAGAGGGTGTAAGCGTTCCACCGGCACGCTGAGTGTGCACGAAATGTCCGCAGTGCAACAAAAAGAAAAAATCATCCGGAACTCTCCGTCCCCCTGGGGCCTTCCGGAGGGAGAGAGGAGCTGCTGTCTGTCTCACTCAGTTACCTGATATCACCGCCTCTCACCTTCTCCATCGTGCATGTCCCCAGCCACAAGGGAAGTGAAAGCTGAGAAGGGGAGGCAGATGGGAGAAGCCAATGGGAACTTCTCAGTCCTTTTTTCCTCTTTGGGGAATAAAATAGGAATCCATTAATGATTGCTTTGCTGACTGAGAATGTAGTTGAAATTATTCCTGAACATCTTTTATTATTGTTATTACTCTCAGTAGTAAAATATCACACTGAATTCTTCCACACACAGATGTGCTTCTTCTAGTCAGTGTGTAGCAAGGAAAGCCCCGTCCACTGCTCCTGTGAGAGGTTGGTGGTGACAGGATGGGGAAGCTGACCTCTTCAGGCAGTGGAAGTGTTCCGTGAGGGAGCGTCCAAGGCCTCAACCTTCACTCAGAAGGTTCTGGCAGGCCCCCTTCTGGCCTGGAGACTGCAGCAGGAGATGCCCTTCACTCTGTAGGTGCTCGAGCCCCAATCGAGGACGCAGTGTGGGTGGTGGTGCTGGGCTGGACTGGCAGATGACTGCTGTAGGACTTTAAATTAATGTTTTTGATTCCTGTACATTTTACAGTAGCGTAGCAAGCAGTCTCACAGAAGGCAGGCTGGTCCATTCGTGGCCCGACCCATTTTAATAGGTAGAAGCTTTCAGTGTGGTTATTTTTTGTTTGATTGGTTTTTGTGACCCCCCATCCTGCTTACCACCCACCTCCTCTTGTCCCTACCTCCATCCCTTTCCTACCCTGTGCTGTCTGCTAGTAATTGTTTCTGTTCCTAATGTGTACAACATCTCGCCAAGAAGCAACAGCATGGGGTCCAGCAGTTGGGGCCCAAAGGACAGTCTGCGGAGGAAGGAATCAGTGGCATCTGCATAGCGCGCAACGGGCCAGGCCCCTGCCCAGCTGCGTCTCCCGACCTCCACTTTCAGAGTGAAATTCAAGGCAACAAGGACACGTGTGCAGCACGCACAGAAGAGAACACAACGAAGTCCATTCTGGAAAAGGCGAAAGAAAGGAAGATAAACTTTTATTTGGTATTTATTAGAAGGAAAGAGGACTGAAAATTTTCTTATGTAGAAACAAAAGGACAGCATTTCTGTTAGTTCCTGGAAAAGTAATATTTTAAGGGGAAATTATGGAAACAATCTAAATGTCCAATTGCTGTGCTAGTGGTAAGGTCTATTTCTGGGAGGTCTCTCCTGTGTGTGTGTGTGTGTGTGTGCGCACGTGCGCGCGTGCGTGCGTGTACACACTCAGCTGCTCTCCCTGGGGGAGGGGGAGTGTGTGTGAGTGTGTGGAGTCAGTGTGGGACTTACAAACTGGAAGACAGCTGCAGAGCAAGGCACATCCAGGAGCCCCGGTTGTCATTCAAGTCTGGGCAACCCCAGCAATGGAAGGGGTGAGATTAATGCTCGTTGCTCTTCAGAGAGAGTGGTTGGAGCCCCGTATGCTTACATTATTGCTCTTTAAGTTTGACATGGTGTTTGGGGTTTTTTGTTTTTGTTTTGTTTTTTTTGTTGTTCTTCTTCTTGTTGTTTTGAAAGGTCTGAAAGGGTGAAGCCCCCCCACCCAATGGCAATATGAAACCCTTTGTGCTTCTCTTCAGCCCCCTTCCCCGTGTCTGCCTCTCTTCCATCCCCTCCCTTCAAGCCTCCCTCCCCACTACCTTGACCCACTTTGTGTGTTTGAGCTCTGCATTCAGGCAGCTGCGACATTCCAGTGTTTGAGCTGTCCCTGATTCTCGCACCCTAGATGAGCTAGCCAGATTCACTGTCTCACCCCTGGTACTACCCACATCCCATACAGCCCCGTTTCTGCATGAGAATTTGGTGTTTGGAATGATTTCTGACTCTTGGGGTGGGGTTTCTCGTCTTACCATCCTCCATGTGGAGTAATGAGGCGGGAGAGGAGAATCTTCATCAGAAACTGGTTTTGTGTAGTAAACTTTCTCTTGTGTTTGTTTTTTTTGTTTTGTTTTGTTTTGTTTTTTGTTTTGTTTTGGTCTATCTGTGCAAGACCTGCAGCTGCTGAAATCAGCTTTGCCTTTAATTAAACCATGTTCTCTCCAACCAGATCTGTGTGTACGTTGTTTCTTTTCTAACCTCGAAGAATATCCTACTTTTAAAAAAAACAAGTATTTATCACAGACCTGTACCCTTGAAGCAAATAATACATTATATGTTAATAAAAAACAAAAACAAAAAGCCAAGTATTTAAACTACTTATATAAGTCATCTAGGAGAAAGCAGAGGTGGTCAGAAATTGAATATGCTTCAGGGTTATTTGTGCTTTTAGTAGCATTCCAGACCATCGGGCATTTTTATGGAAAGGGATGGGTAGAAAGAAACTGATTGTCAAAATTCTTTTATCTAATAAATAAAGATTGGCTTATGGAAGGAAGTTAACAACCCTCCATTTGTATCCCTATTTTTACTGTCAGTGGGACAATACAGAGATAGTTTCTCTTTCTGGTCTAAAAATCACTAAGTCTGGTTAACCCCAACAGTAATTAGTGTTCTCAGCTTTGAGGCTGCATTTCTTATAGTTGTGTCCAGAGTTTCCAGTAGTGGCCTGCTGGGCGTGCGGCGGCTGGTTGGAGGTCAGTGCCTCGGCCTGCCAGTTTGTGTCTTCACACTGGTCAGCAAGCCTCTCACGCCCGTATGGATTCCCTCTACACTTCCTTTCCTGACTGCTCTTCACAAGCACCCGCACACTCGGTCACAGAGCCACACGTACTGTGCAAGGAGGAGGGAGGGAGGGAAAGGAAGGCTGGTTCTAAAGTCTAGTATTTGTTAACCCCACGTTAACCCTAAAAAATCAAGCCATTTGGTTAAATGATAACCAAAATAAAACCATAGCGTTCTGTCACGTGTATCAGTCCATCTTATAAAATGTTAACCAGCAGGATAGTCCTGACCCAAGTGGCTTCCTGAATGTGGCTTCTTTGCGTCACTCAGGTAATAGTGGCCCATATTCAGTATTGAACTCTTAACAAATGTCCCTTCCTGAGAAGGTAGGAAGGGATGCAATTCTAGGGTTTTAATTCTCTATGGAATTGAAAACTAAGTCTAAATTCGGTTCAAGCAGTGAGACTTTGAGTAAAGGAAAGTTAATTTTGCGTGCATCTGCCATCTGAATGACCCGTAAATTTACTTCAGGCTCTAGGAGGAGTCTGCGACTGTTGTGGTACAGGAATAGGGGCATTTATAACTTCGGCCTTGGGCCTGCACTCTGCATGTCTTGTTTTTGTAAGTTTTTTATTGAGGTATCACATATAGAAGGGCACCAATAATCCGTATACAGCGCAGTGAACTTTTACAAAGTGAACACATTTGGGTAGCCAGCACTCCAAGCAAGAAACATCAGCACCCTAGAAGACCCCCTCATCCCCTTCCAGACGTTTCCACCCACCCATCCCACCCCACCCGCCAGGGTCATCATCATGATAAGTCTTTACATCATTGTGTAGTAGGTTAAATTTTCAGTGGGAAAAGTAGATTAGTTAACACTTCCTCACAGCAATGTCTCCCTACAGTGTACTGCAGGTGCATGCCAAACCTCACGAGTGATTATAGTTACTTTTCTCCCACTTTGTAGGTTCTGGAACATCCTAGACTCCTCTAGGAGAGCTTTCCAAACCTGTAGTTGCATGTTCTTCAACAAACGCTTTGGGGAAAATGCCAGTCTTCCCTTTGCACTCTCCTTCCAGCCAGTCTTCATTCACTGATAAAAGGAAAGGAATACATCAATTTCTAAAACCAGTACGGGAGAATTAATGTCACTTGGATATTCCACACACAGCTTCAGCAGTCCTTCACCCCCAACTGTGCTAACAGGGAAGAGTCTATTGGAAAGTGATTTGAGAGAAAAGTGAACATAGGACTTCCACCGTCTTAACTGGTTTCTGTCTTACAATGAAGGAGTAAAATACAGAAAATCAACTAGATGTTTCAAAAAGTTGCCAGAAAAATAAGATAAAAGAAATTAAACAATACATTTTGAGATAGGATATTTTTTAATAACAGAAGAGTTTTATCTGACCTATGTTAGGAATTTTTATTCTGATTACATGCAGAGGACATGCCATTAATTAGATACAGTTCATCTTTGGGGCACATGGGTAGCTCAGTCAGTTAAGCATCCAACTCTTGATTTCGGCTCAGGTCATAATCTCAGGGTTGTGAGATTGAGTCCTGCATCAGGCTCCGCACTGAGTGTGGAATCTGCTGAAGATTCTCTCCCTTCAGGACACCTGGGTGGCTAAATCCCTTAAGCATTTGCCTTTGGCTCAAGGTCATGATCCCAGGACCCTGGAATCAAGTCCTGCCTGGGGATCCCCCTGCTTGTTCTCCCAAGCTCGCTCTCTCTGGCAAATAAATACAATCTTTAAAAAAAAAAAAATTCCCTCCCTTTCTCCTCTCTCCTCTCCCTCTGCACCTACCCCTGTTCATGCTTTCTCAAAAAAAATTAAAAAAAAAATAGATCTTTGAACAATACAAGTTTGAACTGTGAGGGTCCACTTATACACGGATTTTTTGATACAGCACTGTGCTACAACAGTATTTTCCTTATGATTTATTTTCTTTTTAAGATTGATTTATTTTAGAGAGAGAGCATGGCAGGGATGGGCAGAGGGAGAGAAAACTAGGAGACTCCCCGCAGAGCATGGAGCCCAAGACAAGGCTAGATCCCAGGACCCCGAGATCATGACCTAAGCTGAAATAAAGAGTCAGACACAGGAATGTGCCACCTTTTTTTCTCATATCTACCCAGGTTTTTCTGTGATCTCATCCCATCCTCACTCCCCACCCCAACACTGGACAGTGTAGCTGGTTAGTTGATACTGACACATAAAAAAATGGTGCTGGCAGTTACTAAGTCTTACTGTCCCCTGTTAGAAGACAGTCACAGCCAGGGCACACTGCTTCTTTACTTCATTACTCATATTTTGAGTTAATTGCCACGCAACTGTATACTCTCTACCCCATTAACTTTAAAATCTGATTTCTTAATCTGTTGGATTTTCTGTCATAATTGGTAATGGTGTTTGTTTTCACTACTCTGCATTGCTAATGCATATTTCTGCTGTTTTGAACAAAGCTTTTACGGATTATGTCAAACCCTGAGTTACAGTGGTGCTTCTCACCCTTGGGAGATCAGCATCACACTGGAAGCTGTTAGAAATGCAAATTTGTGGGCCCCACCCCAGATCTGAATCAGAATCTGGTTGCTGGCCAGGAATTTTATTTAACTCTCAAAAAGGGTGCTTGGGCGTTCTGAAGTTGGGAGAAGAGCTAAATTAGAATTCTCTACTTAATACTGTTTCAGCTTTTAGTGTGTTTGACTCCTAACAGGATCAGGAAAGTCACCAAAGCAATGTTGAGTAGCTTCTTGTTCAGGCAAAATCTACCCACTTCTTCTCTCATCTTTAGAGAGTACATCAATTCAAAGAACTACGGTTTACAGAAAAGTATCCTATGGCTTGGTGCAAAGACAAAATGATTCCAGCCACCTTCCAATCGGTTCACTCTGGGAATGAGAAAGCATGGCTTCCAAAACAGCCATCTTTTTTTTTTTTTTTTTTTTTAAGATTTTATTTATTTACTCAAGAGACAGCAAGAGAGAGCACAAAGGGCCAGGGGGCTGGGAAAGAGACCCCAGGATCATGACCTGAACCGAAGGCAGACACTTAACACACTGAGACCCCGGGCCCGCCTGAAACAGCCATCTTTAAAGATCAAAATGTCAGCTGAGTCTGTCATTTGTTGCTTCCCTCCCCACTGGAGCAACAGATGGAAAGGCTGAGCACTCCGTTCTGTTCCCTCCCGCTGAAAGCTAGGAAGGACACCGAAACCACTGGCTAAAGTTTGGCTTGTAGGTTATTAATGTTTCTTCCTCTCTTCCCTTGGACTTACTGCTGCTCACATGGAAATTAGTTTCTATGATCCAGGAGTAGTACCTACCCATTGATATAATCTGGATTATGTCCCCTTCCTGGAACTCCAGGTCTTCTGGCTGGGTGGCCTCGTAACTGAAGAGTGCTACCACTTGGCCTCCTTCCTTAAGCTGTGGTTCTGTTGTCTGGTTATTAGCTTCAGATTTTTCACTTTCCTTGGGTTCATCTGGAAAGCCTTGGTCACCCTGAAATAATAAAGGGCCTGTTAGTTTTCCCAACTTCTCGGCCAGTGAACATTGAACATCACTAAAGGAATCCGTGAAACGTCAGTGTAGCACCTGGGATATAAACTCATGAAGGCCAAGCGTGTGATCAGTCCCTAGCACAGACCCAACATGTACTTTAGGAACACAGGATGGTTGGATAAATGAACCCAAAAGGTCTGCAGGACCATAGGTGGTCTTAAAATCTTACAGAAACCTACAGGAATCCTGAAAAAAGAATAGGTACTACTGCTATTTCATCGCAGATGGAAAAACAAGAGATGGAGTCACAAGTAACTGACAGAACCCAAGGTCAAACCTGGGTTTCTAACTCTGAATCTAACACCCTCTCCCCAGCACCCACGCTAGGGACCTCGTTAGAAATGTAAATTTCTGGCCCCATCCCAAACCCATTAAATCATAAACTTGCTGCATGTGGGACCCAGCGATCTGCATTTTAACGGGCCCTCTAGGTGAGTCTCATACTTGCTAAAGTTTGAGAAACCCTGCAGAGCGTCATGTTGTCTTTCTCAGGCCATGAAAAAAGGCGTTGCTTTCTGATACATGTTTTAAGTACACACCTTAGTTATCATTGTGGTGGTTTTTGATCCACAAATGTTGAAGAGAAAAAGGGTGCAGTTTTCTAGAGAAGTGAATCATAGGATTTAACAAACCCGTAATAGAAACCCTGTGAGGTTCAGTGCTGTACTGAAGTACAAAGTTCTTACTTCCTAATGTCGTGTGTTCCTGGAAGGTCCCTTTTACTGGAAGGCAGTACAGTGGGGTGGAAATGGCTGTAAGGAGTCTAAAGGCCTGGGTTTGTATCCCAGCTCCACTGCTCACCGGCTGTGTGTCCCTGAGCAAGTGGTGAAACCTCTCTGAACTTGTTTTCTCGCCTGAAACAGAGGCTAGCAGAATGAAATATGATGTAGAATAGTAATAGCTGACAATTACTTTTTTAAAGATTTTATTTATTTATTTGAGAGAGAGCACACATATGCATGTGTGAGCAGGGGCGGGGTGGAAGGAAGGGGGAGGCAGAGAATCCTAAGCAGGCTCGGGGCAGGGAGCCTGATGCGGGGCTCCGTCCCACACCCTGAGATCACGACCTGAGCAGAAACCAAGAGTCAGATGCTCAGCCGCACCTCCCAGGCGCCCCTGGCTGACAATTATTAAACTCTCTGTGAGAGTCCTAGTCTCAATATATACGTATTTATATTTAAACTTGATTAAGGTGTTTCTGCATAGAGTAGATACTTCATAAATGATGGTCCCTTTTCCTGCTCTTCTAGCGAGTGAATGAGAACTTCCTGACTTGCCGCCTCCAGGCCTAAGGGGTAGTGATAAAAGAATGCCCGCCAATGACCTCTGAGGCCGACTGCATCCCGCAAAGACTGTTGGGAATTTGGGGAGGGCCAGCTACATACAGCCACTAGTTACACTGAAGCGCTCTTCAAAGAACAAAAATCAACCGTAATTAAAAACAATAAAGAAAATACTTCCCTTTTAAGGGAAGTAACACATTTAGAGCGGAAGGGCCAGGCAGAATCCTTTCAAGACAATACTGAAAGGATCCCCCCTGACAGAGACCGTCGAAAACCTCAGGATGACCTTTCAGACTTCCAAAGGACCCCCCGCACTGCTACCTGTTCTCCGCCGTCCCGCACCTAGGGTCCTGGGCGCCAGTGAGTCCAGGGGCCATATTTCCTGAACGAAATTTTCTGAACCCTTAGACACCACCGACCTGGGGCTTACCGCTGGGCCTTCCGCCAGGCCCACCCTCTTTACTGCCTCTACCACTCATTTTTCTTTCCCAGCAAACATGTATCTGATTGCAGTGAGAACCTGCCAGAGACCCTTCCCCAGCTGAGCAGAAGCCCCTGTCCAGCTGTAGGGTTGAGGGGTTAGAAGAGGGACTCTGCCCCCACAGAGCCCTCTGCCCCAAGCCCAGAGGGTCTGGAAGAGCTTTGCCTGTGCACTCATTTCCACGGTTTCAAAATCCATTCAGAGGTTTAAAAAAAAAAAAAAAAGTAGCTCTCCAAAGGGTTCACATAGAACCTGTTGAATGTTATACCCCTTACTGATGTAACTGCAGGTGCCGCATCTAAACGTGCTAAAGCAGGAAACGGGAGAACTGAAGGTGTCAGAGGGAACCCAGCTGACAGCGGCTTTGGTCAGTGGAAGCTGCGATCTCCTCGATTGTGCGTTGGGACCCCTCAGTGTCAGGACTGTGGATGGGAAGCTGAGCACTTAAAAGAAAGCCCGCGGGCTGGCCTGCCTCCCAGAGCACCCGCTCCCTTGCTCCTAGGTTCCTGAATCATCCATCCCAAGCCATCATTCCTCCTATTTTTCTACCCTGCTCACAACCCCATCCGAGTGCCACAGTACGCAAGACTTTCCATGATGCGGCCTTCCAGCTTGTGTCTTTGTGTCTGTCACCACCGCCAACGCTCTGGTCTTCCATCTATGTAAGACCCCCTAACCTCCTCCACCTTGCTAGTTCTTTTTCCGTTGTAAGGCTATGCTTCAAGACAATTTCAGCATTATTCTCTCTAGGAAGGCTATTGACTATTGACTTGTCCCACTTCCTTTAGCATTTTTGGGTGAGACACGCTCCCTTGCACTTAGGAAACACAGCACACCATCCGTCTCCATCAGTTCACCTAACACACGCTTTGTAATCATGTCCGCCCCCGTCTTTCCCCCAAGAAGAGCCTGTATTTTGTTAGTGTTTGTATCTCCAGGAAGATACAAGAGAGCAGTAAGTGCTCAGCAAATGTTTGCTGAAGAATAAATGTCGCCAGACAAACACTGGAAACAATCCAAATGTCTACCAACAGGTGAATCAATAAACAAACTGTACTATTCATTTAGTGATACCATTAGTGATCAAAAGAAATGGACTATTATACCATAAAAGTATATATAAAGACAGAAAAGTAGGGATGCCTGGGTGGCTCAGTGGGTTAAGCCTCTGCCTTCGGCTCAGGTCATGATCTCAGGGTCCTGGGATCAAGCCCTGCATCGGGCTCTGCTTAGCTGGGAGCCTGCTTCCCCCTCTCCTCTGCCTGCCTCTATGCCTACTTGTGATCTCTGTCAAATAAATAAAATCTTAAAAAAAATCTTAAAAAGTAAAAATGGAAAAGAATATATTGAAATGTACTATTAAAAGCTTATATATTATTGTACGATCCCTTTGGGATCGTACAATTGATGGACTATTAAAAGTTCATATGTATAGTATATATAGTGACACATATATAACACACATATTTTATACATAAATATATTATAAATATATAATATTTACATTAATTATGTGATTATTTACATTATATATGTAAATATATATACCATAATATTTATATTATATATGTAAATATATATACCATGCCTATAAACTTTTAATAGTCCATCAATTTCATATAAACGGATCGTGTGAATTTATGTGCATATATATACTGTACAATCCATGTATATGCTCCACTTATATGAAATTACATAAAAGGCGAAGAAAAGAACGTCGGAATGTTCATAGAACACAAATGGTTTTCAGGAGCCACGGCTGTAGGAGGGAATTAACCTCAACAATAAAAAGAAATTTTCTTTTCCCTTGGAGACAAAGGGACAAAGTCAAGAGTGTTAATGCGTAGCTACTACTTCTAGCCTCTAACTTTGCCCCCAATGTCCTTTGCTCTTACTGGGCAGTCAGTTACCTCTGTTCTAGGCCCTGAGATCTAGAAGGGGGTTCAAGAGTACTCTGGAGTCAAAATTCTCACAGGGCCCTGGTTCCTCTACCGACCCGCTGTGTCATCTTGGTCAAGTCGACCTCTCTTTGCCTTGTTACCTGAATTGTGAAACGGGCTAACAATACCTCACGGAGTTGTGGGGCCCCGAGAATGCATACGCAGCGCGCACTTAGCGTGGTGTCTGGCACGTGGGAGCCTTTCAGTAGATTCCGGCTACTGGTGGGAGGTTGTAATCCAAATCATCTCTCTGTGACATAAACGCGAACTATCATCCCCCAGTCCCAAGCGTCCTTCCGCACGGAAACGGACAGTGAGGAGCGGCGAGGAGCTCAGCCTCAGGCTAGGATTTCATTCCGACCTTGTCTGACACTGACGGGCCTAACCTTGGAACCACTGGGTACAGCAGCCCCTAGAAGGGACTCGGAGGCTTTCTGTGCATTGTGGGGCCTGCTCTTCCCTTGCGGAGAACCCTCTCCCGGCTGCCACCGGGGTGCAGGGGAAAGGGAGGCAGAGCTGTAGCTCGTGACTCACCGTATCCTCAACACCAAGCACAGCGCCAGGCTTGTGGCCGGAGCTCGGTACATGCTGTTGACGAAAGGACCCAAAAGACACAGGACGCTGGGTGCCCCTGGGCTCCCGGCACTCACCACTGTGTTCTCACACCACAGAGTCAGGCTGAAGTTCTTCACTTGCCCCCAGGCGGCCTTCATGTTCTCTTCTGAAAGGGGCACCAGCTCATTGCTGTCCAGAGGCCGATAGCTGGGCAGAGACGAGTAAGAACCAAGTTGGAGAACATCAGTACAAAAACCATTGTCTTCTCTCCTCCAGGCCAGCACCAGGTCCCCAGATGGAGCCCCGCTACCTTCATGGGCTCACCTCAGCTTCGTGTGTTCTGGCAAGAGCTCCAGTTTCTTAGACACCATGTCCCGGACCTGGCTGTACGGGAGCCCGGGCTGCGTCTCCATGACCACTGTGTACTTGTAGTGTACCTTGAGTGTGTAGGGCATGGGAACGCTGAGCTTTCCTTCCTGAGGGGAGAGGAAGCAGACGGAGCTCATGAGGGTCTGTGGCCTCCTCTCAGCCCCATCCTGGATCACGGGGAGTGTTCTGTGCAGCAGGGAGAGGCCAATAGCTAGCCCGTTTCACGGGAAGGGGCTTTCAGAGGGCCCACAGCCCCACTCTTGCCTGGATAGGAATTCCTACAGAGCTGGAAGAGCTGGCCCACGCACGCCAGACCAGTAGGAAATGTGTGCACAGGAGTGGGGAAAGTCATTATGGGGCCCTCCACCCTGTCAACTGTGTGTATGGTAGTAGCCGGCCCACCCTTCCTCGGGGACTCCTTCTGTAACCCAGGGACACCTGCTCATGGTGGAGAGCCTCAGCTTTTCCTTTCTCTTCCACTTGAAAGAGTACAAAGAAAAAGCTTACCTTGGGCTCTTCTTTTCCTTTTTGACCTAAATGGAGAAGGTAGGAAGTAAAACAAAAGAAGATGTTGAATAAACACTCCCGGCTAGCCCCTGCCTTCCACAGAATGAAACCTTTTAGAATAGGACACCCAACTTCTTACCTTTAAATCTCTGGGGTGATTCTTAACCTTAAACTGTAGGGGAAATCGCACTTGGGGGGAAATGTGCAAGGCAAAGCACAAACACACAGAGAAACCCAGCCCCTGCCTCTGGGGAGCATACAGGCAAGTATCAAAGGACCATCCCACCCCAGCAGTGCATGGGGTGAGCAGGGACCCCCAAGGTCCAGTTACACCAGTGGGCGCTGAGCAATGAAAGCCGGGAGTACAAGAAGAACCAGGGGCCATAGCAGCGACGTTAGAACCACTCATTTCCCCCTTGTCCTCTATTTCTGTGCATGTTTCTAATATGTATATTAATATGACCATATGCACATAATTTATATGAGAAGTCTGCATAAAGATAATCACTATAAAGGGTGCACAATGGAAAAAAAGACCATTGATCTCATACCCAGCTAATCATTACGGTCACTTGGAAGGTTTTTTTTTTTCCTCCTAGAAACACAGATTCTGAAGCCCAATTCCAATCCTGAAGAATTAGAATCAAATGTCTAGGAATCTATAGTCATAAAATTTTCCTAGGCTAATATGTGATCCTTGATGGGCCCCTAGAGAGAAAAGGTAAAAACCAAAAAAAAAAAAAAAAAAAAAAAAAAAAGCTATCAAGGATGTTTTGAGGGGTCATTGGAGAAATGTGAGTATGAAATATACACTCTATAATATTATAATAACGTTCAATGTCCTAGATGTAACAACTGTGGTTATGCAGGAGGATAGGAGATAATACTCAAATGCAGGGTGAAGGCCATGAGTCTGTGACTTCCTTTCAAGTGGCTGGGGGTAGGGAGGGGAGCCGGGCAAGGACGTGATACAAAATGTTAACAGTTGGTGAATTTAGATGAAAGGTATTCTGGAGTTTATTGTACTACACTTTCAATTTTCAGTCTGTAGGTTGGACAGTTTTCAAAATAAATATGGAGGTGTGGGGAGCATCCCAAGGGGTTCTGGTGATCTGGGGGTGCCTAACAATCATGGATCTAGGATTTGGACAAACTGCCTCTTGAGTGCATCTCTACCGAGCACTTATCCAGAATCAGCTTAAACGGCATTCGTGACCCAAATCCCCTTACTTCCCAAGGCCACCCTCTCCAGACATCAGGAGAATGTCCTTTTCTCATTGGCCCTTGGTTCGTGGTCTATCCCTCGGGGCTCTGCAGAGCAGTTTCTTTTCCAGATAGAGCTCCTGGACTTTCGAAAAGAGCCACTCCATCCCCCTCTGAGGTAAATGTGTGCACTGACTTCAACCTTTCCGGGACGTGGTTTCTGTACCTCATGATGGAGGGGTCTGGTGACCACTTAAGTCGAGACACTCACTGCCCCCCAGAAACCAGCTGCATTTACCTGCTCCCTGTGGGTGTTCTGGAGTAGGTAGGAGGGAAGGGCGTCTTATTTCCTATGTTTTGGGTGGGTGGGTGGTGCAGGAGAGAGGGGCCCTGGGCCTGTGTGTTCACAAGCTGAGCGGCATGCTGGGAGGAGAAGAAACCAGAATGTCCTAGAAGGCTGGGAGAGCAATGCTCTGTTGAGGAAGCAGCCGGGAGCATTCCTATACCCAGGCCAAGGGTGTTTTCCAGGGACACCAACCGGGTGGCAAGTGGGGTCTTCCAGGAGCGCTGGAACTGGGAGGAGCTGGGATATCAGACTCTGGGGAGGCTTCCTCCTGGAGGTGACAGAAATGGTGAGAGCCTTCATTCAGACCAAGTTCTTAGGTAGGAGTTGGGGGGGGTGGCAAGGAAAGGCAAACGGCTTCCTAAAAGTTGGAGCAGTGGTGACATTCAGGGGAGACTAAGGAAAGTGCTGGTTAGAGAGGAGGCGGGTTGACCTGGTGGGAAGAAATCACAGTAGAAACAAGAACCTTAAGCCCCACCTAAAAGGTCCCTGCTGCCTGCCCCTTTCAGCCGCACTGGAAGTCTGCTGGAGATGAGGGAGGACCTGAGTCTTGCCTCAGCTCCCCTCTCGCTCCACATCCCGCCCCTTCAAAGGAAAAAGTCCACCCCTCATCAGTACGGCATTCAAAACACTTCAAGTTATCTGAGTACAGTAACTCGGACCGGGGAGGGCCAAGCGCACAGAGGACGGCTGGTTGCACAGTGCCCAGAGAGACACGTCAGACGCCGTCGGTCATCTACACGGCAGTTCAGGTCCAATGAAGACCACGGGCGGAAGGGCAGGCCTTCAAGCAGGGAGGGAGGAGCCGTGGCAGGCAAGGCCCACTCCGACTCCGTGCTCTAAAACGACTTCTCTTCGTTACCCGCATGTCACCAGCCAACACACGGACTGTTCTTCTAGGTGAGGAGGACATTTCCGGGAAGACCTAACCTTCCTGTACTATGGGCTTCGGATCCCAAGTCAGTCCTGACCGGGAGGAATCTGAGAGGTGGGGTGGGCCCAACAGGTCCCTCAGACCCTTCCTCAGCACATCTGGGGGCTTTCCTTGCTCCCCAGGTTCCACTCTGGGCGGCTGGAGTTAGGACTGGGAGTGGAAGGACCTTCCCAGCGCCTCTTCCACACCTCCCTGACCCCCTCCGGGGAGGCTACGGCGGGAAGGGGCCCAGCCTCGCAAGGCACGTCGTTACCTGGGGCTGCTGCTGACCGGGGATCCGCAGCTCGACGGGTTCCAGGTAGTTGCAGGGAACGAGCCCCTTCTGTGGCAGCATCGCGTGATCGGAAAGGGGAGAACAAGTTGGCGCCTCCGTCCCCACCGGACCCGGACCACCGAACGGCCCAGGGACGTGGGGGAGCGGTGGGGGTGCGGACGAAGGCGGGTAGCCGGGCCGCGGACGCGGCAGCAGATGCTGCTCGCCAGAACGCGCCGCCGTTTGCTGCCAGGATGCCGTGGCCGACACGCCCACCCCTGGTCCTCGGAATACCTGCCCGTTGAATATGACCGTCGCCCAGTTGTCGTTGCCCTTCTTCAGGACGAAGACGATGTTCCCCGGCATGACTTGCAGCTCCTCTGACGTCTCGGGCACAAACCCAAACAGCACCCGGTGAGCTTCCCCTTCCAGAGCCCTGCGGAGGACAGACGCGAGACTCCGTCCTCTGTCCAGCCTGGACTGCGTCCTGCGCATGGCACCATGGCACGCACGACAGTGGCCTTGTGGCCGGGACATGTGCTCCAGACACCCTCTAGCTCAGCACTGAGCTGCCCCTAGGACCTGAGCAGGACCAGGCAGGAAAGTGCCCGTGAACACGCGCCATAACCACATAGGCAGCGGGACGAGGATGAAAGACGAAACAACACGAGACCCCCAGGCCGTGCCCTCCTCGCCCTCCCCGCTCCTCTGAGGAGGCAGCTTCCGGGCTGTGCTGGGCCAGCTCTCCAGTCTGGGCTGCGGTGGGTCGGGCTTGTGGGGCAAGATGAACACGCGCGGTGGAGGGCGCGGGAGAGCCGGCTGGCTGAGAAAGGGGGTTGGGGGGCCAAGTGACCTGGAGGCCCCGCCAGCCGATGGGCACATGGGGGCGGGGCAAGAGGGTGAAGAGCTGGAGGCCAGCTGTGGGCAGTGGCCAGATGTGTAAAGGGAGCCTGAGGCCAGCCAGCTGTGCGCTAGGCAATGTCATTGTCCTTTTACTGTTTCTTCAAGACCTCTTTGCCCTTGGAGGCTTTAGCTGTACAGTCTGTGCCTCCTTGGAATGTGTGAGTGTGGGACTGGCCCCTGCTCTGGCCCGGGGCTCCCTCTCACCTCCGCTCTATCCCCTTCCCCTCAGCCCTGCTCTCTGTTTCCAAACAACAGGCTATTTGCGTGGGGGAGACAGACTCCTCCAGCAGGCAGAGCTAGCAATGAGCTCATCGGCCCCCTCATTTTTATAGTGCTGTGGTGCTTTTTTTCATTTAAAAAAAAAAAAAGCAAAAACCCTCCTTATGGGGCGAGGGGATCGGGCTTGCTTCTTTGCTAGAAGAAATTCTTAAGAAAGCTGTAAGTTGTGTCATTCTTGGCTTCTTGTCTTATAGAAGAACGGCTTCTTTTGCCTGAGTTGTTCCTCTTACTTCTCCAGAGACCATGTGCCCAGAGGGAGTGAAAAACGCCCACTCAGGGAAGGACACACCATCTCACTTCCCACTTTGCTCCCCCGACTCCAGAAAGCCCTGGCCTCCCCCTTTTCTGAAGCGCCTACAGTCAGGACAAAATTGTGCTCCAGCCTCTGCTCAGGGGGGCTCTGTTCCACGGACACCTGCTGCCCTCCAGCAGGGACCCCCATGTGTGGGTGGCTGTGCACAGAGACCTGGGGACCCCTGTGGTCAATCCTACCAGAGTCAAGGCTCCCATCCCCCTATATCACTCCATTCTAGCCCTGAAAACAGGGAGAGCCCGCCCATGAGGCTACACTCCCCAGGTCTCAGCCCCTGACCCCAGCTTCATCTTTTTCACCCCTGTGATTGCCAGAATTTGGGCTTGGAGCTCGGATATTCTGCATCCTGCTCTAAACCGAACTTACCTGAAGATCTCTGGGGTTTTGGGTCTGGGTGGAGGTTCAGCAGCCTAGTGAACATTCAGGAGGAATGAAGGGAAGGAGTGGGGGAGAGAGCAGATCGTTAATGGTAATTTGAGCCTTCTCCCAAACCCAAAAATCAAACAACGCATTTCAAGCTCCGTGGGAACACTGTCGAGGGAGAGGGCACCACGGACCTTGACCACACATTGGAAAATAACCCCTCCCACCAGCTCCCTGGGTCCAGGTGTCCCTAGCGGAGCAATTCGTCTTCAGCCAGTCCTGGTTTCCGGAGAATTTTCGCCATCACAGAGCAACATGGCATCACAAGGGCGCTTTTGACCTTGAGCGCTGTCCCTTTCCTAGGACAGTTTCCAAAAGCTCTGTTCTATAATTAATGTCTGCTGTATCATGTGACACTTGTGGGTATTTAAAATCCACTCAACGTCCCCTGACCAGGCAGAAATCTCCTTTCAGTGTGCTTTCTGCTCTACACCAGATATCGCGGAGTCCACTGATCAGGGCTTCTTCTGCCTTTTGGAGTCTCTGGCTGTTCTGCGGCCCCGGGGGTCCTCCACAAGGGTTTTCTTCAGCTTCATTGTCAAGATATGAATCAAAAGATCCTGAATCTATCCATCCTCCTTGGCTCATCTCACCCTCCAGAGCCCTGGTGTCGGTCCCATTCTGGGCTAGCAGCCGTCACTCTGCCCCAGGGAGACTATGGGCTCTGTTGTCCGGAGTGACCAGGTGTGTGCAGCCTGGAGGGGGAGGTGCCCCACTCAGAAGCCCCTCCCCCGCACGTGCAATGGCGGTCAGATTTCCCTCACAAGGAGGGAAAGTCCTTCACGTTTCTAGACCTACTGTCACCCAGTCTGCTTGGAAGCATCTCTGAGCCAGGACCAGGCAGAGCAATGGCTCACTGGGGGCACCCATCGTGTTCCCAAGGGGATCCCCCACAAAAGGGCAGGCCCCATGGAGGTCCCTACTCGCCGCTGTGTCTGAGAAGAGGCCTCATTAAAGAGCCTGCCGTCGCTCTGTTCCCATTTCCTGAGAGCCTAGTCCAGGCTTCGGGAGAGATGGTCAACAGAAGCCATCTTCGACACCAGAGGCGTGACAACTGGCATTTTGGGGGAAGCAGGAGGGTTGGTTTCTGGGAACTTGAGGTTAAGCCTAAAACTGCCTTATTCTCCCAAGGGTCGTGGAACCTGTGACCCACAATGGCCAGCAGACACCACTGGCAACACGTAGAGGTCAGCTGACGGAGCCCTTCTAATGAGGCAGCTTGGCACAAACACTGTCCCCAGCTGGCTGTTTCCAGAGAGCTCTGGAGACCTGGGTCCGGGGAGGAGGACGGGACCACCTCACCTGTGGCTGTAGGGGGGCAAACCCCGAGAAACTGTCTTGATCCACCACAGACGCCACCACCTGAAACGGAGAGAGGAGCGCGTGAGGCTCCGAAGCACTGATCTCCCACGCTGCCTGGCTTTCCCCACGATTCTCTCCTTTCTCACACCCTGGGTCCGTGCTCCCGGGAGCCCGCTCCCAGAGGCAGACAGGGGCTAAGGCATGGATTGCTGACCCTCTGGGTTACAAGCTCCAGCAACTCAAGAAACTAGTACCTGCCCAGCCCTGCTAACCCAGCAGGCTCTCTCCTCTCTCTCTTTCTGTCCTTTTTTTAAAGTGAGGTGAGATTCACATAATATAAAATTAACCATTTTAAAGTGAACAATGCAGTAACATCGAGGACATTCACAATCCTGTGCAGCCACTGCCTCTATCTAGTTCCGAGATGTTTTACTCACCCCCAAAAAGACACGCCACACCCTCTCCTCCCAGCACCCAATGTTCACCAGTTTGCTTTCTATTTGTGTGCATTTACCCATTCTAAATAGTTCGTGTGAAAGGGATTATGTAGCATGTGGCTTTCATGTCTGGCTTCTTCCACCTAGCATGACGTCTTCAAGGTTCACCCATGCTGTTACTTGCATCAATGCTTTATTCCTTTTTATTTTTTTTTATAATTTTTTTTTAAGATTTTATTTATTTATTTGACAGAGAGAGATCACAAGTAGAGAGGCAGGCAGAAAGAGGGAGGGAAGCAGGCTCCCTGCTGAGCAGAGAGACTCGATCCCAGGACCCTTGAGATCATGACCTGAGCCGAAGGCAGCGGCTCAACCCACTGAGCCACCCAGGCGCCCCTATTTTATTTTTTTTTTAAGAGAAGGAGACAGATGGGGGGAGGGGCAGAGGGGGAGAGGGAGAGAGAGAGAATCCTAAGCAGGCTCCATCTCCATGCCCAGTGCAGAGCCCAGCACGGGGCTCGATCCTACAACCCTGAGATCAGGACCTGAGCTGAAATCAAGAGCTGGATGTTTAACAGACGGAGCCACTGCATGGCTACATCACACATTTATCCACTCATCCACTGACAGGCCTTGGGGTGTTTCCACTGACCCAGGCGCTCCTAAACTGCAGCTCTGAGAGAACCAGCTGCCCAGGCAGTGGGAACCCGTTAGCCCTAAGGATATGTCAAAGTCAAATGCAGTTATGGAAAGGGGCCGCGGGCTCACTTTGGATCACCTCTGGGAGGATTTAAGACCTGGATTTAAAGGAGTCCAGTTTATAAAGGCGTCTCCTCAGAGGGCTGAGGAAGCAGGGCTAGGAAGAGCATCAAACCAGGAGAATGCTGAGCTTGTCCGTTTCTCTCACATGCTTTCTCTCCATTTACTGAGTGCCCGTAGCTGCACTTTCTCCCCATTCTCTGCCCTGGCTCAGTCCCCCAGACTCAGCTACCGGTGACTAATGTGACTAACCCCGTGGCTCCCCGAGGCTCTCCCCCAGGGTCAGGCAGGAAGGGAGGAATGAGAGGAGCCAGAGACGATAAGCTAGAAGCGTTTGCCCACCCTTCAGTGACAGCCCCACGCTGCCAACAGTCTCCGGCTGCTGTCCCAGGGAAGCATCATGGGGGGTGGGTGCCCTCCTCCCCGGAGTCTGTCCCCACCCTGGTCCTCACAGGGCGCACACCATAGGAGCCTCCAGGGAAGCTGAGGGAGTCACTTACTGTCGCCTTGCCTAGGTAATCCTTCTTGGCCAGCTGAGCCACTTGCCTCTCATTGGGTCGAAACAGCCTGCCCACAGGGATCAGCACGGGCTCATACAGCTTCTGTTTCTAGAACACAGAGAGCACGGTGTTTTCTCACCGGCAAAACAGGGCTCATGATGCTTGTCCTGCCTCCCTCACTCAACGGATGCAAAGGTTCACCAAGATAACCTCACAAAAGCAGTTTTTCTACATGTGTAAAGCCTGCCTTTGTGATAATTTCTGAATGTCAAAGGTGAGAACAGTTGGTTTCAATATCGCTTTGCCCTGAGAGGCTGTATGGACATTTGTCCGTGTTATTCCCTGGGGAAGGAAGGAGGGGGGGCTGCCCCTCCCCCACTCCACAGACTCAACACAGGTGGCATTGCAACCACGAGGTGGCCAAGGTCCACGCAAGGCCCATGACACGGCCATCCTGGGGCTGCCAGCGAGGACTCAGGGGTAGGCAAGCAGGCACGGCCTCTGCCCCTGTGCTGGGATCCAGCCTTGTGTTCCCTGTTCCCCCCAGCCCAGCGCTATCACAGAGCCTCCCGGATTCAACACTGCCAGATTCACGATCCAAAACATGGGACCCCACCCTGGGATCGGTGTTACCCAGAGCTCAGAGAGAGTACAAGCACCACGTCCACGGCTTCTCAACCCGCATGTCCACCGAAACAAAGAGAACTCCAGTGGGAACCCTCCAGCCACCCTGTGTCCTCAGTACACTTACCCAAACACATTCCATGGCTTTGTCGATTTTAGTATGCCTCTGCTCAGACTTCATGCTCATCGCCAAAGCTAAATGTTCTTCTGCCTGCTTCCACTCCTCCTTCTTGGCGTGCATGAGAGCAACATTATATAACACCTAGAAAAGCACAGGCCACAACACAGAAGTTGAGGCAGCTCCAGATCGAGGCAGCAGGGAAGAGCTGGCCTGTCTGCTCCTGGAACGTTGCCTGCTGACATCCCTCCCTTCCTCAGCTTTCCCAGGGATATCTCCAATATAACACTATCAATCATGCTACCAGGTTATGTCCGGCACAAGGACGGTGTTAAGAAAGCGTCACATGGTGCCTAAATCCAACACCAAGTGTGTTATTCTTTCAACAACCAAACAGATCAGGAGGGGACAAAAACTCTTGTGTTGGTGCCACCGAGCCCAGGCCAGAAGACTGGACAGGTGAAGGGTGGGGACAGAGAGGGCTCCGGACGTATCATCCTGCACCAGCAGCTGCAGAACTCCGCCTGGGGCATGGTAACGAGTAACAGGACCGTGGTATGGTTTCAGGGGTAGGAGGAAACTCTGCGGGCACAAGGGCAGTGAAGCCAGAAAGAGACTCGGCACAAATCCAGACCAGCGCTTCCCTGGGGACACGCAGGAACAGCACGTTCTCGGAGAATCATGATTTCCCAGGTCTCGGGTTGGGTGGTAGGATCACGAGCGTCCGATCTATCACTACGCCTTACAACTTACACAGAGAATCCAATAATCTTTTGGATGCATCGGCAAGATAAAAAACGACTAAGTGGAGTGAGAAGATTCTCGAGCAAAGATGGGAAGCAACAGAGAGCGGAAGAGGATCAGGAGGACAGCTAACAAAGAGGGCTGACTTTCCTTCTTTCTCACGAGAGTGCAGCGGAGTCCCCCAGCGCCCCAGCACCCTGAGCGGACCATGAGCTGGACAGCCAGGACCTGCTGCGAGGTTTTCTCAGGTGTAACCAGGAGTCACAGCCTGCTGCCCCGGGTCGGTGGGGCTGGTTCTCTGGAGCCTCAGAGAAGAGATAGAGTTGGTCAACTGAGGCCTAGTGGGGAAGGGAGTGGTTGGCCTTCTCTCCCCCATGGAGGCCTTGCAGGGGACAGGTGAAGGCACAGGGACCCCAGGACTGTGTCTAATAGGTGGCCTCGGCTTCACTCTCAAATTGTGGCAGTAACATTGCCTGCTTCCAGATTGTTCTGAGAAATAAATGAAATAATTCGTATCAAGCACCAAATTGGGGTTGCTGGCACAGGGTGCGTATTCAACATGTATTTACTACTACTACGACTGTTGTTTGCTGTACCGTGTTGGGCCTTGCTGGGCAGCTGAGCAGAGAAGGGCTTTTGTCCCGCTAGTGTCGCCTGTGTGGTTTTGGGGAAGGCAACAGGGCTGAGTTTTGCAGACTGATGCCATCTGGGGACATCTGCTGTTTATAATCAAAAGGCTAAAATTATGAAGGACGGTGCTCTCCTGGAAATCAGTGCTGCCTTTGGAGGCGGTGTCACTGCCGTTCTCCTTGTCATCCTCATCCTCGTCTCACCGAGGCCGCCCAAGGACCGCCGAATACAGGTCACTTTATCTGCCTGATCTCTAACCCCACCAGGAGAGCAGAGGCGTCGCTTCTGTGCTTGCATAGTGTTTCCACTGCAATTCTCTTGTCCTGACCTTACGACCTCACGTTACACGTGACCGCGAGCTTCTGGGAGCTGCCACCTTGTCTGTGGAGCTGCCTGGCATTATAAAATCCATGGGGTGGGGCACCTGGGTGGCTCAGTGGGTTGAGCCTCTGCCTTCAGCTCGGGTCATGATCTCAGGGTCCTGGGATCGAGTCCCGCATCGGGCTCTCTGCTTGGCGGGGAGCCTGCTTCCTCCTCTCTCTGCCTGCCTCTCTGCCTACCTGTGATCTGTCTGTCAAATAAATAAAATCTTTTAAAAAAAAATAAAATCCATGGGGTTATTAATGAGTGTGTATGAGGTAAGCACTCAGCCCTTCTTTACAGATGGTGAGGAGCCTGAGGCTCAAAATTGACATGTCACTCACCTAGGATCACACAACTGCTAAGTGTTTGCCCAGGATTAGATCTCCATCTGCCTGATTCCAAAGTCTTTGCTGTTGTGGTAGCCAGCTTCCAAGATGACTCCCAAGGATTCTCACTTCTTGGTCCTCACCCTCCTGTTCCCTCCCACATCCAATGGAGCTGACGTGGACAGCCAATAGGATATTATGGAAATGCGGGGGTGCGGCATTTGAGGCTGAGTTATAAGAGACTTTGGTCTTCGATATTACTTTCTCTTGGATCATTACGCTCTCTGAGGAAGCCAGCTGCCATGTCCTGACAAGACTCAGACAGTGTTACGGTGGCAAAGAATGGAGGCCTCCTGCCAGCAAGTAACACTCCCTTGCCGGACCCGTAAATCATCGTAGGAGGAGACCCTGCCCCGGCCCCAGTCAAGCTTTCAGAGGACGGCAGCCCTGGTCAACATCTTGACGGCCAGCCCTTGAGAGCCTGTGAGCCAGAAGCCCCCAGCTAAGCCACTTTAGGATTTCTGACCCAAGAAAATGTAAGATATAAATGGTATTATTTTAAGCGACTGCATTTTAGAGTAATCTGGTATTCAACAACGGATAACCGATGCACTTCTCCTCTGTTGTGATAGTCTGCCGCCTACATCATCAGTTTGGTTCAGGGCCCCAGCCAGACAAAAAGAATAGTTTATCAAGGCAAGTACAGACATGTGGTGGGACTACGTTTTCACGGAGTGAGTTAGTGGCTGGTGCTAGGTGATGGCACCGAGAGCAAGCCCAGAACTAGAGGTCTGCATTCCCTTCCCAGGCTATTTCTGGGCCTCAGTGAGCTGTCGTCCTCTGCGGGCATGTTTGGCTGGTGCGGCCCAGCCTGGCCATGAGCACAGGAAGAACTCAGGTCCTTAAACATTCCTATTGGGTTCTCTGCTCCCTTCTCTTAAGACCGTCTCCCACAACAGGCTTTTGTGACTCCATGACTGGAAAAGCCTAAAGGTCTTCAAAAAGGACGGTGTGATTTCTCAGAAACGAGGGTCAGACCCTGGTGAGAAGAGAGGGGTGGCATTATATGTACAAAAATGACTGAGGGTCTCATGGGGAGACCATGGAAACTCCAGCTTCACCTGCAGAAAGGACTGTAAAACCAGTATTTCCCCACCCCAGGTCGGTTCAACTGGAACACCAGGGGAGCATTTCTCCCATGGGATTCTGCTTGGATGCCCCCATTTTATGATCCTTTTTCTATAGCTAATTGGTCCCCCAACCCTTTAGTCTGTATAAGTGGTTCTCACTGCAGGGGTGGGGGTGACTGGCAATGTCTGGAGATATTTTAGGTTGTCATGTGGAGGGGCAGGGGAGGGGCTAGAGGCATCTGATGGGTGCACAGAACTGTCCCCTACAATAAAAATTTATCTGGTCCAGTGGTGGCACGGTCGAGAAACCTCTCTCTAGAAGGTTGGCCAAATGCCAATCAATCCCCTGAAATTCCCAAGGCCTCATTTCTCTGGCTGGTGAGAAGTGAAGTGAGTGGCAAGCCCGCCGCTGCCGGGCTGGATGGGGGCACTTGTCCCCAGGGGCCTGGGCAGCTGTGGACTCTATTATTAGCCCTGAGCGACCCTGGGAATGCTTGGCTTTCTCTTGCCTGAGAAACTAAAGCAAGGGGATTTTTTTTTTTTATCAGTGATTCTTCTAAATAAAGATCTATGATATTTGCAGGCCTTTTCGTTTTTCAAGCTAGTGGTGTATATTTGGAATTTAGGAGGGGGGATGGGGGGGTTGGTTGGAAAAAGCACGCGAGCCTGTGAAGTCAGAGCTGGTCATGTCTCTCCCTTTTGGTAATAGAGAAAGTCAGTTATCCTTCTATGGAAACCTTCCCTAAATGTGTGCTTTGATTTGTTCTGTGAGCTGGGGAGGACAGATTTGTGCCAAATTATCCTTGCTCTTTCTCTGGGGATCAACCAAGCACACAAAGCCAGAGCCATGAATAGCAAAGAGCGTGGTCTGGAACTCAGGAGCTCAGGAGGGTTATGGCACGGATAGTGAACCCATGATTTTGGATGTGTTGGTATAATGCTGAGCAAATAGCTTGTCAGCTGGAATTATGCAAATTGTTATGAATACTTTCACAGGCCATCACAGGGGGGGCCCCCTCCCTTCAGAGAACCCAGCAAGCTCCTTTCCGTAGGGTCCTTTGAGCCTTACGTTAATATATTGCATGCCCTCAGTAACTGGAGACTCCGGGGTGAGCCTGTAGTTATTGATCTGAGTCTTTTCTTAAGGGGAACTCTGAGTCCTGAGGCCCAGAAGCCTTCTCCAAGCTCCCAGAGGTTTCAGCAGATCGCTGGGTATCCGAACTGTCAGCTGTCCCCTCAGCCTTTGTGTGCTCCTGCCCGGGCTGGGCCCTTCCTCCTTACCTCACAGGCAAACAGCTTGAACTGGAGCCCCAGGATCTTGTAGTCTATCAGCTGGTTCCCTCGAAGCTGAGTCAAGGCCTCTTTAAGGTCTTTAATAGCTGCGTCATATCTGTGGAACAGAGGGAGATGAGACCACGGCCCAGGGCAGAGATGAGCAAATGCGGGATAGAACATGCACTGGCTTCCCTTCCCTGGCCTGTCTCACTGGGACAAGAAGACTTTCCAATCCCTTTTGGCCTGCTTTAGCTCTTTGCCAAGGCTGAGCCCCAGTATTCCACAGTACTCCTTGTGAGTGGCACCCCGGGGCAGTGTGCATCCCAGCACCCCTGGGGATCCCCCCAGATTCAGGCCATCATGGGTACTTTCTTCTCTGTGGACAGGATCCAACTCCTACCTTTCTGACTTCACTTCCCAGCAGAGCCCTCGTCCTCTCCCAGTAGTGCCAGCACCTGCCGGCCCCAAGGCACCATGCAGCGATCTGGAGCCCTGCTCACTCCTCATAAACCCCCCTCCCTCTCCATTCCCCCACCCCCACCCCTGAACTCCAGGCCAGGCTAGCTTGACCTGGCTCAGCTGGGAAACTCCTTCTAGAGCCAACGACATCGCCCTCCTTCCCAGAGCCTTCTCCTCCCAATTCTTTTGAGTCCAACTCAGATCTTGGTTTCATGGCTTTCTTAGCCTCCTCCCTCTCCACACACTTTGGAAAACAGAAGAAAGAAACCACCAATTAAGCCAGATGGCGTTTCTAACACTGCTCTTGGCACTGGCCATTTGTTTTGTTGGATTGCCATTGCGTTGGCTGGCTCAAAGTGTACAGGGCTGCTGTCGCTGGCTTTGTGACAGACAGTGGGGCTGACCACATCAATAATGCCCACCGGGATGTGGGCAGGACTTGGACTAGGTCTCCCAGGCCTGCCCCTGACCTCCACAGAGGCTCTGGGAAGAGGGAGCTGCAATCAGACTGCAGGGGGTGGGAGACCTGAAAATCAAGCTGCCCCCACCTCCTCAGCTCACTGGCCCTGCAGGAACAAAGGTCGCTGCCCGGTCGTGGTTCCACCTGGATAATGGAAACAAAGGTGCCTAGAATTCGGACACGGGCTAGTGATGTGTGCCTACACCCTAGGACGGGCGCTGAGAGAAGGGGACCAGATCCACCAGCTCTGCTCTTATCAGGAAGACCCTGGCAGAGCACTTTCCTGGCCTCGGGTTCCATGTCAGTAACATGAGTGTATCCCGTACGAGGAGTGTATTGCATTCGAGGAGCCTGTAATAGGAGGCCATCGCTAGTATGTGGTCCCAGATCCAAAACCCCTTGGACCTGGGTCCTAGCTTTGCCACATACAATCTGGTGACAGAGAGGAAGTTACGGAATTTGTCTGAGTCTGTTTCCTTATCTTTACAGTTAGAGAGTAAATGGTCACACGTGCCTCCCAGGGCTGTAGGAACAAAGATGAAGCACCCAGGAGCTCAGGACCTGGGCAGTTTGTCCCCAGGGGCCTGGGCAGCCATAGACTCTTTTTTTTTGTTTGTTTAAAGATTTAATTAATTTATTTATTTGACAGAGAGATCACAAGTAGGCAGAGAGGCAGGCAGGGGGGGGGGGAGCAGGCTCCCCGCTGAGCAGAGAGCCCGATGCAGGGCTCGATCTCAGGGCCCTGAGATCATCACCTGAGCTGAAGACAGAGGCTTTAACCCACTGAGCCACCCAGGCACCCCATGTAGACTCTATTATTAGCCCTGAGCAACCCTGGGAATGCTTAGCACACACAGTAATTTACTTTTATTATTATTATTAGTTATTATTATTATTAGTTGTTATTATTATGGCACAGCTCTAAAATTCTGGCAATGACATTCATATGCCAATCATTTATTACGTGCATAACACTCTACAGTGAATTAGGTGTCATCTGGAGATAAACTCCACCGTCTCAGCCAGTGGAAGCATGATCTCAAAGGGCCGACCCAACCATCCTAAGGAACGTGTGCCCAGGGCAGCTGGGGCAGAAGCTACCTATGCTGTCACTGTTGCTTCGGGGTCACTCACACTGCAGCCGTGGCTTTAGCAGTGGTGAAAAAAGACAGGCGGGATCTGAAGCAGGAGAGTGGCTTTCTCTAACACAGCCTTGTTTAGATAGATGATTGTCAAACGTGCTGAGAGCCTGCAGGACACTCCTTAAGGAGCAAGAAACACCTCAGGTCACTGACCTGTTCTTACAGACATTGCCGAGAAGGGGGAGAGACTAGGCATCTCTGTTGCTCCTTTCTAAGCTGGGAGATTGGGTGACCGGCTCTGGAGACAGAGCCCAGAAGGAGGGGCGGGTGGAAACGCAGGTGTCCCGTTCGTCAGGCAGATGCAGTTTCCACTGGGTTCCACAGCCTGCCTGGGAGGCAGCTGAAGGACCTCGGAGGCACGCCTGGAGTGCTGTCAGCATTCACCCTCTCATGTGACTTCCCCCCGGGCCAGCTGGCTGAGCAGGTGAATTGTAGCTGTGAAGTTACATTGACTACCTGGTAACGAGAGAGCCCAACAAAGTCCTCAGAATTCTCCCTCCCATCAGGTTCTAAAGACCTGCACCCCCTGGGAGGGGTAGAGAAAGAGCTGGGGAATTATTCAGAGTGCTCACTTTGTGTTAAGAAATGGGGGTGGGGGCCCCCTGCTAAATGTCGGTTTTAAAGCATTGTCCTGACCGCCTGCTGCCCCCCCTTGTTGACCTGGAGCTGCATGGGCTTTGACACTCAGCTCTGCTCCCCATTGTACAGGCTCTGCATAAGCTCAGTGTGAGACTCCCAAGTCTCATTCAGCCAGCCCCCCCCACCTTCCAGCCATTCGGAACCCACAGTGTTTCCTAGGAGGCCAGGATGCTGGCATCCTCCTGCCAGGTTCTGCGGGGCGGGGGTGGGAGTACTTTCTTCCCATGCTGTCCCTACCAATGACACTCCCCCAGCCCCGGGCCCCTTGGCTGCCCTGGACCCAGAGCCCCCATTCCTCCAGGTAGAGGCTCACCAGCGCACCAGCAACCTCTAGGGGCTTTCCACCAGCTCTGAGCCCAAGAGGGTATATACTCCCCATCTTGGCAGTCCTCCCTGTAGAGGTGACTGTTCCCACCCTCCCAGGGCCCCTGCAGTCCAGAATCCTGCCCCTCACGCACCTGTGTCCAGGACACTGGAGAGTTCTAGCGAGCTGGAGGACATCAAAATGTCAGACCCCTCCAAGGCGGAGCTTGGGCTCAGACCCTTTCCCATTGCAAAGACACCAGGGAGAGGCTCTGCTGTGTTGCCTCCGTGGGCCGGCTCCGTCTACAGGGTTTGCTGTTCCTAACCTGGCCCTGAGATTCCTAAGGCCCAGAACTGGAACCGCCACCACGTAGAGCTCCTTTCCCCTTTCAAAGGGCAAGGCTGGGTCAGACAGGTGAGGGTCTGTCATAGTTGGCACCCAGGCCCCACCTGCTTCTCAGAAATGCACCCAAATTTTGTCCTGTGGAACTTCGTGATGACAGAAGAGCCGCACAGCAACACGAGAAGGGGGGGGGGTGGGATCTAAGAGGAAAAGTGCGCATCCCATCGTCATCCTAAACAACCCCTACTGCAATCTAGAGGGATCCCTAGCCCCCTCATTAGGAAGTAATGTTCCTATGTCCCTAGGGCACTTATTTCAAAATTCTCTCTCCTAGCACTTGCCCCCTTCCACCTTGCACAATAGTTCCTAGCGTTTGTGACCTGTTTCCCCCTTTTAATTTGAAGGTTCCTTAAACTGAAAGTTCCTTTAAGGAAACCTCCTTAAGCAACCTTTTGCTTGCTTTTGTTTAATTAATTCAATAAGTATTTATTAATTACTGGATTAGACAAAGAAATATGAGTGAATAAGTAAAGATTTCTTCTCTCAAGAAAGAGAGTCGTCAAGGAGACAAATATACAAGCCAACGCCTGTCACAGAGTGGAAAGATACTATTTTTTTGTTTTGTTTTGTTCTTTGGACAGATACTATTTTAGAGGGCACAGAAGAGAGTGGTAGCCACGCCAGGGCAAACTGGTGGAGGACAAGTGGGCGTGAAGGCAGCTGCTGGACCACGTAGGAGCAGCCCAGGGAACTTCATCCTGTAGGACTGGGATCCACTGGAAGTTCTTAAGCAGATCACATTTGTTTTTTTAAAGATTTTTTTTTTTTTTTTAAATTTGACAGAGACATAGAGAGTCCAAGTAGACAGAGAGGCAGGCAGAAGGAGAGGGAAAGGCTCCGTCTCCAAGCAGGGAGCCCAATTTGGGGCTCGATCCCAGGACCATGGGATCATGACCTGAACTGAAAGTAGCCACTCAACCAACTGAGCCACCCAGGTGCCCCACATTTGTTTTTTGTTTTGTTTTGTTTTGTTTTGTTTTGTTTTTTAAAGAGGATCGCTCTGGAATAAGACTGGGTGTTGGAAAAGCAGTTTGGAAGTGATTTCAGTCGTCCTGGTGAAAATGAGGATCTAAACCAGGGTAGTGCTGGTGGAGAAAAATGGGTGGATTGAAGAACTTGAGAGGTCAACTTGACAAAGTTTGGAAAAGAGACATTCTGAGTTGATCCCAGGGAGAGATTTAGCAGCTGGCTGACTACAGGTGGGGGTCAATGCTATGGGAGAGTGTGAGATCCCTTAGGGTTCACGTATGGATTTTTAGGGGACACTGAACCCCCTGATATTGTACATAGAAGGATGTGTGTGCTCTTCTGGAAAGACAGGCCATACATTTTGCCATTAAACAACCACCTCTGGGGTGCCTGGGTGGCTCAACTGGTAAAGTGTCCAACTCCTCTCTCTCTTTCTCTCTTTTTTAAAGATTTATTTATTTATTTATTTGACACAGAGAGAGAGAGATCACAAGTAGGCAGAGACAGGCAGAGAGAGGGGGAAGCAGGCTCCCTGCTGAGCAGAGAGCCCGATGTGGGGCTCCATCCCAGGACCCTGAGATCATGACCTGAGCTGAAGGCAGAGGACTAACCCACTGACCCACCCACTGTCCCCCGACTCTTCTCTTGATTTTGGTTCAGGGCATGATCCTAGGGTCCTGGGATTGAGCCCTGAGTCGAGCTCTGCACTCAATGGGGAGTCTGCTTGAGATCCTCTGTCCCTTTGCCCTCCCCTGTGCTCTTGCACGTGTGCTCACTCTCTCTAAAATAAACAAGTATGGAAAAAAAAAGCCCCCCAAAACCCAACCACTGCTGTTGGGATAAAAGGGGAAAAGGTCAAGAGCAGAGCCTGGGAGGTGGGGACACCAATGGGAACAGATGAGCAAAAGAAAAGGAGGCAGTTCAGAGTGTAGAATAGTGCCTCATTTACATTATTTCCTCAGTAGACAGTTGCTGAATTGAAGATGAACCTCGGTAGATTTTTCTCTCAGATTTAACTATTATCAACCACAGACTAACTGAATCCTCTGTCTCATTCCTAGATCTAAGATCTGTCTGCTTCGCTTAAAATCTGAACCTTGCAGGATCTGGGGCTTGTGGGCATTTTTGTGTAAAAATTTCTTCTGGGAGCCCTCCCTCTTTGTCAGTTCTCTCCCCTCATTACAGGCTGTTAGAGCTAATTAAAGGATAGCCTTAGAGTTTGTCTTTTGAGATTTAAGATCAGCTGGAGGGTTGGTGCTCTGGCCTCCCTGGGAATTCCATCCATCTGGAGAATATAAGGATGAGGGAAGGGGGACGGGGAAGAATAACACTAAGAAGAGAGACAGGCAGGACGCCACCAAAAGGTAAATGCTTATACATAGCTTCCCTTGGTCCCCAGCTTTCTCTCCCTAGACAGCCTCTGTGTTTGTGTGTTTCCTGTGGGAAGACTTCCCTCCTGCCCTTCCCCCTTCAGGTGGTCACATCTACATCTTGCAAGTCCTCTGAGCTTCTTGTGGTTGCCCCTAGCAACAGCTGAGCACAGCAGCTTTCCAGACTTTCTGACTAGACCCTGGGATCCAAGCCTTTCAAGATTGCCCGGGACGAGAGGCCCGTCCCTCCCCAGTCCCCGGATGTTCTCTGCCATCTCCCCTCCATCCCATCAAGCCCCATCTCACCTGCTGCTCCTGCGCGCGCGCTCTCTCTCTCTCTCACACACACACACACACACACACACACACACACACACACGCCACCCACACCATGCCCCCACCACCATTTTCACTGTTTGAAAGTTCTTCCTTAGGCTGAGCCAAATTCTCCTTCCCCAGAACTTGTGCCCACTAACGGAACAATTCCTACAAAGGGAAGTTTGCTATCCCCTAACACATTTTAAGTGAATGCTTAGAATATTTTTCCTTTGTTATTTGTATGCCTCTTTTGGGGGTATTCTGGGGGCAAGTAGTGGGAATTGAGATCAACTTTCATTTTCTACTTCTTTGGTTTTTTACTAATAATTCCATGTTGACTGTAAACACACCAGAAAATACAGACAGGCTGACGGAGGACAATTGAAATCCCTATAATGTCACCACCCAGAAAGAACTGCTGGCAATGTTTTGGCCTATGGCCTTCCAGACCATTCTGTCAAACAGAAATGGGATACATGTTACACATACTGTTTTGAAAAAAAAAAAAAAAACAAGTACATACTGTTTTGAAATCTGTGTTCTAAATTTAACATCTGCTATGAATTTTTTCCCATATTAATATAAATGCCACTTATTTATCTGTATTAGTATATCCTTATATATAGAATGTTAATAGGTTACATTCTCATTCTGGTAGCTACATGATATTTCACTGAATGGATTAAACCAGCCTTTTGAAAACACATCCTGTAGGAATGAAGGAAGGTCTCGATGTGGTTTCACGCAAACCCTCATTGTGTGACAGCTCACCGCCTCCTAATAGACGACCATCATGGGTGTTCCCTTGATGGTCAAAATACTACCAACCAGTGCCGCCCAAGCTATGACCCATCAGGGATGCTGGGGAGGGGTCACACTGGCTGGAGGGAAGGCCTGTGGCGGTTACGTGAGGTCACTGTACGCTATGAGTTTGCTGATTGCTAACTGGGTGGCAGGCCTGCCCTCCCTCCCTCCTTCCCTGGGGAGGGCTTCTGCCTCATGCTGACCTATTGCATAACCTGCCCAGAGACGGTCAGTCACACTTCCCAACAGAAGCTGAAAGGATACTTCACAAACACAAAGTCTAGCAGTGCCAAAACCGTGTCCTGTCTTCTCTGCAAACTTCCCCAGCTTGCGTAACGCTGGACCACTTACTTCTCCATGTGGTAATAGAGCATCCCTCTTTGGAAGTAGGCCACCGCCAAGTGCTTGTCTCGGTTAATGCTTCTGGTGAAGGCCTGTGGAGAGAAGAAGGGTCCAGACGTGATCCAGGAGCCAGGCAGTGAGGAAGGAGAGATGAGCCCAGAGGGAGAGGCAAGAAAGGGTATGAGAAGGGTCGATGTCTTGGAAGGTGACAAGAAACTTCGAGGTCAGGTGTTTCTATAAGATGGAGATGTTAATCTCTGCCTTTTGAGATTACTGACCGGATTAAAATAATAAAAGTAACGAAACAGGAGAACAATTAAACTATTATATACAGTATTATGTTTGATTAAGTAAATAAATATCATGCAATTAAAAAAACCAGAATGCATTATAAAATGCTGGGATAAGGGCCTGACCCAGGGAATCAAAGAAAGGCAGAGAGACTGAGCACCAGAAGCAGAAGCACGCGAGGACAGATCTTGTGCGGGGGAGGGGGGGGGCGGGGGGAGGGGATTTTGGCAGAGGCAAGCAGGCCGGTGACGGCATAGCTGTGTCCAGACTGGCTGTCATACTTGGCCCATCTCTCTCCCCAACCGTGTGCACTCTGCCTCCAGTAGCCCCTGGAATCTGGGGTGCTACTTGCTCAGCTTCTGCAGGGAGTTGGGGAGTACAGGCCTCTTCCCACCAGATATGAGACCCTTGCCTGCTCCCGTCTGCCCACCCTAGGGCCTGATGTGGACTCTGTGCTTGGATTGTATTCCAAGTGGCTGCTCTCTTCTGTCTTTGCTCACTGGCTGGTCATGGCCATGGCCAGGATGGTTGTGGGAGGAACTGAGTCTCTAAAGACGCTGGGGAGTCAGTCACCTGTCCACACCCCCTTGCAAAGACTGGCAGTCAAGGGGGAAAATAAGAGCTAACATTTACATAGTGGTGTGAAGTTACACAGCATCTACTAGTTGGTGCCTCACTTCATCCTCAAAATGTCTGCCCCTCTCAGGAAGTCTTCATGACTTGCCAGAACCCCAGGTCCAGAAATAGGCAGAGGTGGGATTCGATCCTAGATCTTCCACCCCCACACTCCAAACCCTCTCCGGCTTTCCCTGGCCCACCCAAACAGTGATCACTGAGAAGGCTCAACCCCATAATGGGGACTATGACAGAGAAAAAATAGTTGAGGAGCAACCCACAGCGTGCCCTCTGCAGACATCATTAATCAACCTGGTATGATTCGTGCCAGCCTCTCCTTAAAAAAGTGCCCCTTATAACTGATGAGAATTGTCACGTGACAGGACACCTATTTTTCTTAAGCACCTCCCCTTGCTCTCTAGGGCAGGCAAAGCTCACACATATGAAATTCCTGGAAAGCCCAAAGAGGGGTTTTCTAATAGGTGTGCAGCAACAAGATGGGGATCCAGGAGCCAGCACGAGTTCGTAGGAGAAAGCATAATTACGGGAGTCTCCATAAAGGTGTGAAAGAACAATTCCAGAATGATCTGAAGTGAATAGATGGAGAAGAAAGGAGAGCGCAACCCACAGCCCTCGGTTCCCAGCCAGTCAGTGCCCAGCAGAACAACCTGGAGGGAAAGAGAAAGAAAGAAAGAAAGAAAGAAAGAAAGAGAGAGAGAGAGAGAGAGAGAGAAAGAAAAAAAGAAAGAAAGAAAGAAAGAAGAAAAGAAAAAAAAAATGGGGGCTGGTCAGGCCACTCCCCAAGTCCATTCAATCAGGATCCCCTGGGGATGGGGCTTGGTCAGGTTTTATTCTTTGAAAGCTCCCAGAGGTTTCTGAGGTGCAGCCTGGGAGGAGAACCACTAATGACAAAGGCATGAAGGAGGAGGCTCTCTGGAGAGGTGCCTCCACTCACCTTCTCCGCCTCAGGCATGTTTTCCAGGATGACGTGCACGCACCCGATGTTGAAGCAAATCCTGGAGTGGGGGTCCTGGACGGCAGTGAAGGCATCCAGGGCTCCCTTCCAGTCTTTCTTGTCGGCTGCCAGTACCCCTTCATTCCAGAGGCTGATGCCCTCGGCCAGGGACATGGTCAAGCACAAGCCTGGGGCCCGGGAGGCTGCCAGGACCCAGAGAGAGGGTGAGCGGGGGTCTCCCGCTCCAGGCTGGCACTTTCCAGGCGCAGCACGCCGAATGGGATCCAACAACTTCTCAGTGTTGCAAAGGCTCAGGAAATGTCCCCACCTTTCGGCAACTGACGCACAACCCTACCATGAGAGAGAAAAGGAAAGAGCTAGAGAGGGCGGGCAGCCGGGGGTGGGGGGTGGGGTGGAGTGTGGGGGAGAGGAAGTACATCAGATACTGCCTGCCATGGGTCACTTCCCCAAAATGCTTCTGCTCTGTCACCCAGCAGCCCTCTGCCTTCCACAGCCGCTTTGGGGCGGCTTTCGGTCAGGTCTCTGGCCCCAGGCTCAGGGCAACCTCGGTAGGTGGAAGCACCTTCATGGGCCTCCACTTCCACACCTTCCTTAAATGAGGGCGTTGGAGGAGAGACTGGTTCTCTTCAGTCCTCAATGAATTCCTTGCTCACGTTCTCATTACCTCATAGACTATCTGGATATAGGTGGTTTTTGTTTTGTTTTTTAATCTGCAGGGGGAAAGGGGGAAAACTGTAGTCTAGGGTGGCTGACCAAACCAGCGAGGGAATTGCAGTCCCTGTCTCAAAGCCCTTCCCGGCTCTTCTTCCCTACCCTGTTTCCCGCGTGCACCAGAAGTACCATATGGAAGTAGAAGGGGATAAATTCCCCTCCCTGCTAGTGCTTGGGGCTCAGATCTTTGGAGAATGGTCTCCTCTGAGCCTGCCGGTATTAAATAAACCTCCCATCCTCCCAGGTCTCTGAGACAGCTAGGCTCTTTTGTCAAGACCCAGTCCACGTTCCCTAACACGTGGTTCCCTGCCCGGGAAACCCAACAACGCCGGGCCATTGTTGCCACCGGTTTGCGGCATCGGTGGCGCAGTGAGCGAGCGAGGTCGTAAAAGAGAAGGCGCGCGGCCTGATTTCCGGCAGTCTCCCTCCCGCCCGGTCACCTCAGGCCGGCCACGCCCCGCTGTTCCCAATCAGACTCAAAAGAGACCTGGCAGGTGACGACCTGGTCCCCACGTCGGATTCCGGTGAGGCCTGGGACCCCAGGACCCAGTCAGGCCCACCCGTCAGGGTGGAAGGGGAGATTGACCACCTCCCAGAGACCTCTTAGAAGCCTCACAGGTCGGGTCTCCCGGGGCGCAGGGTCCCTCAGGTCAGGAATGCCCCGAAGGGGTGGGGGTTCAGGAAGGAATTTCCGAAAGGAAGGGAAACCGGCAGATCAGGGCCTCAGGGAGTAGGGGGTAAGGTGGGGGAGGAACAGTAAGAACATGTGGAGTGAATGCAGGAGTGAATGTGCAGTTTGACCTGGCTTGTCAGGCGGACTGAGTCTGTGGCTCCACAGGTGGGCACCCTTAGTGTTCCCAGAAGACTATGGAGCCCGAGTGGCCCTAACCTGTTTCTGTGGTGACCTCACAGGGTCTGTGGCGAGCCCTTCGGGCACCAGCCTGGGGTTTATATGGATTCACTTTGGCTAAGAGGCATCCAGGTGTCCTCTGGGAGGGCGGACAGGTGGGCATCTGACTGGTCTCTCCTCTGGAGGGACACCCACCCTTTGTCTGTCTTCAGCCAACGACACCAGGAGGGAACACACAGGGTGGACAAGAGAGCCCCTGGTCATCATGGGTGGAAGCTCTTCCAAACCTACGGTCTTAGACTGTACGCTCGAAAATTTTGAGAAGGGAGTCTCAGGAGACTATGGGGTCAAAACATCTCCTGGAAAATTAAGCCCATTATGTGAACTGGAATGGGCCACCTTCGGGGTCGACTGGCCCTCCGAGGGTGCCCTGAGACCTACCCACTGTCCAGGTCATTTACACAATCATGGTCGGGACTCCCGGACACCCTGCCCAATTCCCGTATATGGATTCTTGGCTTCAGGTAGCCCAAACTCTGCCCCCTCGGGTCCGATTTTTGTGCTAATAGGAAGGACCAAAGTCGGATATTTCTAACGCAAGTAAAGGAGCCCAAAGGCTGTGAGGAAGCAAAGCTTATCAGGGAGGCCCTGCCCGGGGGCATCGGCAGCAGCAACAGGGATGAGCTCTGGCCAAGGATGAGCCAGTCAAGAAGCATGGGGACTACAGTCCTCCTCGGACCCAGGGCCTAAAGCTGAACTGCAGGAACACGGTGCTCCTGTTGCCTCTAAGTGGCATGTGTGGGGAGAATCTGATTTAGCAGCTCGGACAGCCCACAGGAAAACTGATCCAGACAGAAACAGGATGTAAAATAACAGGAGCTCTCATCCTTACGTTTGTGGGGGGCACGTCTGGGTGGCTTAGTTGGTTAAGCGTCTGCCTTCCACTCAGGTCATGATCCCAGGCATCCTTCAGGACAGGGACTTTAAGGAATATTCCCAAGCAGCTGCTGAAACTCCCTTTATTTCTGGGAAATTCCCTGTCTGGCCTGACATGGACTGCCTTCTCCCCCTTGTTGGCGGGAAAATATGGCGCCTGATCCTCTGGGAGCTGATGAGCTCCTGAACCGGAAACCCTTTCCCTGCCCTCTAGCAGCACTTTGTCTTTCCTGCCTCCCCATCCTCCTTCTCCCACTTCTGTACCACCTTGGGTGCAGCCTACAATACTGGATTCTAGACCATCCTCGGTGCCTCGGGCACCGTGGCTCCTCCCTTCACTGTCAAGGAGCAAGAAGAGCATCCTCTGGACCTAACACCCCCCACTCCAGATTTCCCCACGTGTCTCAGGTGAAAATTGACCATGTAGGAGCATAATGAAAATCGACCAGGTGGAACATAATTCAGTATTTAAACTAAAGTTGTTGGTTTAATTAAGCTAGACGTGTCTTTTAAGTTATCAGCAGTAAACGTGAAACTTTTGTTCTCAAGGTTTACTGAAGGTCAAATAACCTCATGTTACCTCTGTTGCAATTTGTTAACAAAAAGATGACTACAGGGATGGTTAACTGTCTCAAAGTTTTCTTGGGTAATTAAGATAGCTTTCAAAGTCTTTGGTAACCTAAAATTTTAAAGTTTTGCTTGGATGATAAATGGAATTGAATACATTGGACATCTAGGTCTTTTCCAAATAGGATAAAGTGCTAAGTCATTAATTACTGGACATAAGTTTGTGTTTTTGACTTCTTACTGCAAAGAAACCAAGGATATTTAAATCTGATGGTAAACATGTTTTGTGCTTAACTGATTCACAAATTTGCCATTTATAGAATTCTGGTGTTATAGTTCACAACTGGTTACTCCTTAGTCTTCACTGGAGATTAAGGTTTCTAGAGAGTGCAAAATTCTGCTAACTGTAACTAAGACTAATGGAAATAAGGGAAACAACTCTGTATGTGGAAAAGTAGGAGATATGTAATAAAGATAAGGAATGGGAATGCATTTTTGTTGAAGGTAAAAGAAGGTAATTTTGTCCTAATTGAGATGGTTGTTTGGAAAGAAATGACTTGGGACAAAAATCTGAATGAATAGGAAAGTTGTAGAAGGTTTATGGAGGGAAAACTTTGGAACAGAATTTTTAGATGTGGTCAGGACAGACCAAGGTTGAAATGAATGGGTTTTAGAGTACATTGGTATAAGATTGAAAGTCTGCTTTCTCTCTGTTCAAAAAGGCAAAGTATTCTCCAATTGTTGGGCCGCTCTTCATAAGAAAATGCAAATAGTTGTTTTCTCTCTGCCTGCTTAGGAAAACCAGTTTCTGTGTCTTGCCTTTATCAGGTCTTTTAACATCCCTAATCCTATTAGACATGTGCTTTAAAACTTTCTAAGGTTTTAACAAACTTCCCCAAGATTTAGAACATGAACAAAGTCTTGTTGACTAATTAGGCTTGCTTGTTCAGTATGTAATGTTCTGGTTCGGGCTATTGAAATGTTATGTATCACAGAATAACTGAGTTTCTTTGTCAGTCATATCATAGTGAACTATCAGATCATTAACCATGTCCATTTCTGAGTTTTTGTCATTTATAATTGTCCTTATTGTCTTGCAAAATGAGGTTCATCTTCGAGGAGGTTCATATAAAGGACTCTTAGGACAATGCAGGTAGTCAGTATCTTTAAGATCAGAACTGAAATGAGTAAGAACTTCCAGAACTAAGTAAAAGCTGCATTCAAACTGAACCAGAATCGATAACATGGGACTAAATGAACTAAAAAGACAATTATAGTTCTGTGATGCTTGTCTGAAAAACGTTGCTGGTTTCTTAATGTTCACTCTTCCTGATTAAGGATACTTAAGATTTCTGTGACTTACAGTTTCATGATTAAAATAATCATTTGTAAGCAAATTAAAGCATTCAGCTTTTCTCTCTATCTGAACCCTCTGAAACTCAAAAGGTCTCAGTAAGTATACCTTCTTCCATGGTAAGCCTAGTCATTTGCATAAGTTCAATAAGAATCTGTTCTCCTTTTAACAGGACACCATTGGATACATTGGTCATTTTACCAAGGTTTTGACTGGAATGTCATATTTCGGAAAGACATGCATAGACTCAGATATGACCAAACAGCTTTAAGGAGTGGAGGTTGGCTTTATAAAACCTGGAGCCATAAAGCCCCTTGGAAATGTTGGCCTGGTACCTTGCTTACAGAATTCCCAGCAGCCTCAACAAGTGAGTAGTAAAGAATGTCACTTTCTGGCAGGTGTAGGACCCTCTGGATAATTTGGAGACCTCATGAAGAGGAATCTTCCCAAATCTATGGGTATTGCAGGCATGTCTGATGGCAAGTACTTGGTTTGGCTCTGGCTTGAAGAGTCTACTAAAAGTTCAACCTAGAGTTTCCTTATAAAGTTCCAGCAAAGTAGATTCTAAAAGATCTATATGATCACTCACTGTTCTTGCTGAGCTTATATAAATAATTAGGCCAAGTTTGTTAAAACTGGACTTGTTTTTCAAATAAATTAGTCCTAATTTGGCTATCTCTGGAAACAAGGGTTATTTTAGAGAGAAAAATTACATTTAAATAACCAACTTTTGTGGATGTTAAATTCTAGATTTGATTGTCTTTAAGTGTTTGTTGTTTACCTAAGCTAGACAACTTGAGGTAAACTTCAGAGAAGTTGTACAATAGCTCATTTAGACAATCTTCTTGCTTTTTATTCTGTGGAGATAAAATAACAGTCTCCCATAGCACATGATTAAACAACTGGCAAATGGGATTGATTCCCCAACAATTATATAACTT